GGAATCCAAGGTCTTTGGTTCACTGGGTCACTGCTGGGAGGTTATGTAAGCAGAGAGGCAGGATTGGCCCCGCTGAACCCGGGGAGGCACCACTTCAGCGTTGGCAAGGAGGAGAAAACCCAGAGGGCAATGAGGTAAACACTCAATCTCTCTCTCTCTCTCACACACACACACACACACACACACACACACGGTTTACTGGGAAAAAACAAACACCGTACGTAGAAAGATCACACTCTTGGAAGGCTGTTCCATCTGAAGCTCATTTCCAGGCGCGTGTTTGATTACGGTTACTCATTTACTCCATAATGTCACATCTGTGCCCTGCTCAGTGCTGCCCCCACACGGCCATCAGCAGCAGCACGCTCTGATCCACCCGAGGCCAAAAGGGCCAGAGGCAGACTGTCTGGCTACGACCCAAATGGCTTTCTCCATGGATATAAACAGCCCAGCTACGAGCCCGGACCACACATAAACACCATCCCGAGAGCACACACCGAGCTCCGCAGCCCTTCAGCACAAACGTGTGCGTACACAGAGGGAGTAGTGAACATGCATGATGCACATCTCCTTCGCAGAGGTGTTCTGGTTACCTCCCCGTTGCATCAGACTCATGAGACGCCCCCTTCACATCCCTGGAGGAACGAAAAGCAAAACTTCCCTCCAATTTAACGATTGCACGTTTACCTGTAACATTATTTAGGGCTGGAGTTACAGACTCACGCAGCATTTGCTTTTATCACCTGTAATCCTTTGTGTTTTGCCTGCCTTTATGTAGCTGTCTGAAGAAGTGATGGATGGGAGCCTCTGGGGTGGATGTGTAATGTTTACCAGATAAGATAAGCAAACATTTGGGTGGATAAATGGGGGGGGGGGTTTACACACCGAGAACGTTTGACCTGGGACGAATCTCAGAAATTACCACCGACAGGGCTTCAGGTTAGAAGCGACAAAGTCGGGAGGATGATGAACTTTTAAGTTCCCTAAATGAAGAGAGACGCTGTGAAGTGGTAGAGAGAAGATCAGAGACGTGCATCTAAACCTGAAGGGGATGGGAGAGCGTTTCAGGGGAAATCAAAGACACGGGTCGCTCTGAAAAGATTCAAGTCGAGCACAGATGTCCTCGTATAATCTGCGTCTCCTCCTCCTTTATCCAGGATGCTGGGAGACACATGCAGCCACAACGGTGGGAGGCCACACACACAACCTCATAGATTCAACCTCAAGGGCTCGGGTGACATTCTCCCATGTCCTCTCACTTGGTAAAGGTCCCTGCTTGTGGGTCACGTGAGAGGCCAAGGGAAAACCGGAGCAGAAGAATCCCTGCAGAGCCAAATGTCATCCTCGCAGCACGGGCCCAACCCAGACAGAAGCAACCAATACACACAACGAGCTAAAACGTGCGTCTATAAATATGAGGCAGTGGTTTGAGGCTGGGAATCAATGTCCGGTCGTCACCCTAAGGGGTTAAACTCTAAAATTAGCGCATGTAGGACAAGAAAACACCTCGTTTATGAAGAAAAGCAGAAAAACGGAGCCACAGATGTTTAAGACTTCAGATCAGCCGGAGATCCTCCATCTTGAAATGTAGTTCAGGACCTTTCATATCATAGAGTTGCTTCCCAACAGAAAATTGCACTTAAAAACAACGCAGTCATGTGATTAGGGATGGGTACCGAATTCGGTACTTTTTAAGGTACCGACCGAGCACCGATTCACGTCGTTTCAAACGGTGCCTCGTTTCGGTACCCGTCCTTCATAATGAGAACAGCTGTGCATGCGCAAGAGCGTTATGTCATTGGTCGCTGCGAGCCAGTTGTAAACAGAGCAGCATGGTAGAAAGAACGAACGCTAAAGCTTGGGTGCACTTCACTAAATGTGATGGGTAACTGGGTGATGATGAAACCAGCGACAACGATCTAAGTGAGACATCCTCATCTTAATCTGCTCCGGTAGGTAAATAAAATGTTTAAGATAACGTTAGCTTGATATGTTAGCTTCCGTTTCGCTAATGGTGCGTTCGCTTTCTCCTCGGAACTCAAAATTTCCGACTAGAACATGAACGTGCACTAAAGTTTGGCTTCACTTTACTAAATGTGACGGGTGATTGGGTGAAGATGAAACCAGCGATCTACGTGTGAGGCATCATCGTTTTAATCTGCTCCAGCAGTTAAATAAACTGTTAAAGATAACGTTAGCTTGATATGTTAGCTTCCATTGCCACCGTTGTTATCAGCTAACGGTGCGTTCGCTTTCTCCTCGGAAATTCTAACTTCCCAGTAGGAAAAATCAAATGAAAAAGGACGGCAAAAAGAATGAAGATACACAGTAAATTTAGTTCACAGTAAAGATGTTTGCTTCAGTTTAATTATCAGCTTATAAAACTACAAGGACGATGTTAAAATACAAACAGTTGAATGTTATTTATCGTGATATTTATCAAATATTGTTATATATTGAGAAAAATATATATTTAATTATAAAAGAGAATTAAAATAATAAACACTCAAAAGTATCAAAAATTGGTACCGTTAAGTACCGGTATCGATTCGTAGGTACCGGGAATTAGTACCGGATCGATTCAAATGTCAAAGGTACCCATCCCTACATGTGATGGTCAAAGATGCGGTTTTTGCAGCACTCCTGACTGACTCAGGATCTGTTGTTGCACATTCGAAGTGTTATGGCGGTAGCAGCGAGCGGAGGGATGCTTGAGCTGACAGGCAGTGCCCTTGCTCATTTTTTCGGGTTGTTATTTTTCATTGCGCAGCTACGGCCGGTGTTCGTAGCTGCGCTCTTCGTTGGTGTTGCTCCGTGTAAGACGGAGAGGTTGAATTGACGTTGCCGATGCTGCAGCACAGCACGCGAGGAAAGAACCGTACTGTGTTACATGTTGGATTCACGCATGGTTTTGTGGTGACGATATTATTAATTTCAATTCATCTGTGACGTTCTTTCCGCCTCGCTCGGTAATTGTCTGTCTGATAAACAGCGATTGTGCCTTGGCGCGACAGACGGAGGTGTCACGATCACTTGGGGAGTTACTGCAGAGCTCCGGCCGGCAAATATGTTGAAAATGAAAATAAACCCGCGTCGTAAGTTTTGCTTCCTGAACAAAACCAGCTGCAACGGCGATCTGGAGCGATGCGGTGCTCCAAGAGCTTCTCTCCGTTAGAGCTGGAGCTCAGTTCACAGAGATCGCCCCATACCCCCTTTATACCACCATCGCCTAATCTTTCATTGACTACGTTTACATGCAGCCAATATCCGGGTTATGATCGGGTTAAGGTCGGTATTCGGGTTTCTGAGTTGATCAGAATAACCCGTTTACAAGCATAAATAGAAAGAGTTACCCCTAACTTGCATAACCCGATTTAAATGCGGACGATGGGGTAGCGTCAGGACGTATGGACTACGTTCAGACGCAATAAGCGTCATTTCCGGTTCTTCTCGTTCCGGTATCCATGAAAATAACAACATGTTTCCCAGTTTGGAAGAGATAGCGACCGTGTTTGTTTGCGCTTTAGTTTCCTCGTCACTCCAAAAGTGTGGTGCTGTGCCGCGACTCGCCATGTTGCTCCCAACTTGTTGTTTATTTCCGGTGTTCTGGCGCACACAAGACGTCTCGCTACTCAAAAGACCAAGATTCCTTGCGAACAGAGCATGCGCAGAACACACGCTTTGATGGGGATATCCCGGTATGCGTTTACACGACCAAACATTCGGGTTAGAAAAGGGTTACCCCAGGTGTAGTACCCGGGTTTTTAAAAACCCGGATTTGCTCATAACCGGGTTTTTAAAAACCCGGTTATGAGCATATCCGGGTTTTTGGCGGTGTTTACATGGACCTGCGGAACCGGGTTATTGTGAATATTCGGGTTTTAAAAGGGTTACTGGCTGCATGTAAACGCACTGATAAAAAGGACACGACTGCACCACATTACCGCCACAATCTGACCACCTTTAAACCACCTAAGTCTCCCTGATGCCGCCACGGCGTTGCGAGACCTTTACGGCATTGTTTTGTAAAAAAAAAGGCTTCAGACTCCCACCACCTGTTGTGGCCAGAATACTGCACTTGCAACTTCAGAGTGTTTTAATCAAATTGGTTGAAAAATTACAATTATTGTTGTGCTTAATGCAGAAAATGCCTTCAAAAACATTTAAAAGTAAACCCACATACAGTTCTATTAGTATTCTTCCACTGACTTTAGAAGAATAAGTCAGACTTTTACTCTCTAACCAGAAACTTTTCAGCTAATAATTTAGAAGCAAAAGAGAATAAAAGACTATTCGATTCAGTAGAGCTTTGAGAAGCGTCAGCAGCAGCAGCAGCTTGACGACGGACTGACCGACTCGGGTCAGCAGAGCAGAGATTATTAGTAACACAAGACCTTCATTAACTCGATGTGGTGAAAAAACACAAAACAGAACAGGACTCTGATTACCACGACTGTCGGAGGGTCTGAGTTTCTTAGAGAAGACCAACACTGAGCTGATATGTTTTGGTGTTGAACCGTTTTTCCTGGTAAATCCACCCTGGATGAACAATCCTGCAGCACGAGACGACGCAGCGCCGCAAACACAAAACTAATCCAGCCGCTGACGGCTCTGCCGTGGCTTTTACACTTCGTTTGACGTCCGGTGTGTGACACGGTGTCGTGTTTGTCGAGTTGTGCTCTGTGTTCGAGCGGCTGCAGGGGCCGAGGGTGACGGGCCGGGTGTTAAAGAGACAGACAGTTGCTGAAAAGTAGGAGGGGGAGATGTGTAAGCTGATGAAACCCAGGATAATCTTAGCCTTGGGCAAATGTGCATTCATCTGCAGTGTGTGTGCGTGTGTGTGTGTGTGTGTGTGTGTGTGTGTGTGCGCGCGCACACACATCCGTCAGAATGTTGTCTGGGATGCACTTCGGACCCGGATGGAATATCAGAACAATCTGCTTTCGTGCTAAACGACATTCTCCCGCGTAATCGCGTCTCCATCTGCTCACCCGTCTTACCTCTGAGGCAGAGGAATGTCAGGAAGTCCTCCGTCTTGGGCTTGCGCCGGGACAGGTCCTGAATGGAGGACGACAGCGATGACGACGAGAGCGATGAGAGGGACGACGGCGGCACCGTGGCCTGGCTGGCATTCAGGCTGCCCGGCTCGGCCACTTTGATGGGAGTAGTGCTGGGCGAGTTGGGCTGCGACTGGGCGAACTTCCTCTGCGCCTGGAGTCGAGGCCTGAGGAGGAAGGAGGAGGAAAAACAAGGTGATCCATCTGTTAAAATGGAAATTAAAACTTCAGACCGACTCGGCTGATATTTAAAGAACCCAAGCAGCTGGTTAAAACCACAGCGCTGCACTTGTTCATACCTGCAGAACCACTTCCTTCTTTTTTTTACTACAGTGCCTCTAAAGCTAATGTTTCCTGGCAAAAATAAATACATAACAAATCCGTTAAGTGCAATCTGATGCTCAAACATCCGCTCATCAAATGGATGTTCAGCCACTCACCGGCTGACATGCACCGACGTGTGTGCATGTTGCCGTTTAACCCACACGGATAATGAAAAGTTCAAAACACAAGTGGAAGTTCACCGGCGCTGTTTTGATGAATGGGCCTTCGGTTATGACCAAACACAGCCACAACCATGCCAGAAATGTCTTTTTACTTTAGCATCTTTACAAACTGTCCGCATCCTCTCCTTCCACTCCTTCATTCTCCCCTTTCTGCCTCAGCTTTGTGCCTCTCAGCAGTGCACAAAGCCTTTGAGATGTCTACGCCGGTCGTTTTCCTTCTCTTTATTTCACAGCATGTGTCAGCGGAGGCGGGAGTAAGAGCAGAATATTAAAGAAGCACTCAGGAAGGAGGGGAAAAAAAGCAATGAGCACGAAGCAGAAACCACACCTGGGTGTTGACGCGCTCCCAAATCAAACCTTGAAAGTAAATAAATAAAAGTCCCAGAGCAGCAGGGACCACACGGAGCAGCATCGATCGATTAGCGCCGCCGCATGCATGCGCGAGAGCACGAGCTACGCTGTGAACGTGGAGGAGTAGTGATAGGAGCAATATGATATCCTGGTGTTATTTGTCAATTCGCTGCGGAGCGGACCGAGGTAAGGGGAGATGGGATCATGTCTGGAGAACACTCGCAACGCATTTGGAGCAGCCGCTGAGAGGCTCAGAGCTCCGGTTACACTCCAATCAGAGAACAGCGTCGAGTTAAAACGTGTCAATTTCCTGCCCTGACATGGACTCGATGTGTGAGAAATTGAGAAATGATTGCTCCAACGTTGTCAAAATGTCACATTTTCAGAAAAAGACCATCGTTTTGTATCAAACGTCGAGATTCTAGATGCTGATGCAACATAAATATCATTGTACATCAGTTTATCCGTTTTCATCAAATATTTTGTGCAAATTAAAGATTTTTTTTCATCTTAAATAATATGGTATCAAAAGGTCGCCAATTTCACTAAATATGAGGAATCTTAAGGCAAAGGTTTAAACTAAACATGTATATGAAGTTTTCTGAGCTAAATCCCTCTCAAATTCAGCTGTTTTATACTGAACATTTTCAGTACCTTCCAGAATGAGCCGTTTCAGGGCTCTGTCACTTTAAGAAAACCAGCTGGATCTGGCCACGCCCATCCATCTCGCTTGGCTGATATTAGCTGAGATGGTACGATTTCTGAAAAGGGACTAGAGCTGCTGGTTCTATGCTAATTTTTCCATTTGTGACATCACAAACAGGGACTTTTTAATAACGGCTTGTTTTAGGCACATAATCCCTAAAACCAAACACTGTCAGAAAACAGATGGTTGGATTTTTTCACATTTGGATTGTTTAGAGGAGAGGTAGAGACCCACATGGTGGCACAAAAGTATGCAGAATGTGAGTTTTGCATATGTTCTGCTTATATTTCTCAGAATGCCATACTTCATCACTTAGTGTGTCCCTCCAAAAATAAAGTTATTTACAATAAGATAAAAAGTCAGGTGCATGAACTTGACATGTCTACCTGGTTTGACACAAGAAATGTGAATTTTCCAAACATTTGAAAATAATTAAATTTACTATTTATTAAGCAGAAAATTGGTTGTTCTGTATGCGAACTATGAAACGAAACTTAAAAGTACATATGTATTGGTCATTAGATTAAATGAAACAACCCTAACCTGAAACGTGCGGATGAAAAAAAAAAACGAATGAGCAGAATGAAAGGAGGGAAGTGATGTGGCGGAGGGGAAGTTGGAAACAGGGAGGTTGGTGCAACGGTAGGAACTTTAGATTAAGTGATATTAAGATAAAAGAGGAGGAAACAGACGGTGAGCGAGTTACGGTCTACAAAGAGATGCGACTATAGTTACCCAAAAACATCTGAATGATGACTTCAGCACATAAAGAACCTTCTGACTGCTTGGAAAGGAGGTTCTTCTGTAACCTATTAAAACTATATTTTTCTGGATTTAAACAAAAACAAAGTCAGCACGGTCTTGTTCAGACGAGCCTGGCGTTTGGCTGATCTGCCGTTATCTGTTACCAATTAACCAACATTCCAAGACTCGCTGGAGGGGTTTCCACTACGTTTTTCCCCACTGACAATAAACTTGCGCGATTTTCTCACTTTTCCTGAACATTTTTTAAATGCAGCGCTCGTCCCCAGTTTAATGACATGCTCATGACGGGGACATGCCCAAAGCAAAGCTAATGAACAGCGATCCGCTTCAGTGATGATGTGATAACGCGGGGTTTAGAGGAAATCTAGAAGAAGCAGATTGGATCAATCAAACCGTGGCACCTGCCTCTGCAGAGAAAGCAACTCCAGCATCAAATAGTCATTTAAAGGAGTTTTTCAACAAAAATCATGGTTGCAACATAAGTTCGGCTGAAGCTGAACCAAAACAAAACTTCTCAGCAAGAAAATGACAAAATAATAATACTTTTGATTTAAAAGCACCTTTCAAAACACAATAAAATACAGTAAAATACCAGAATAGATCAATCAGTCATAAAAACAGATCAAACAAGTCATAAGCACTTTTGAACAGATAGGTCTCGAGTCTGGATTTGAAAAGGGTAAGGCAGTCAATGTTTCTGATGTCTGGGGGGAGTGCGTTCCAAGGACGGGGAGCAGAGCAGCTGAAAGCTCTGCTCCCCCATGGTAGTGAGGCGTGCAGAAGGGGCAACAGGGTGGAGAGAAGAGGAGGATCTGAGTGAGTGTGATGGGGTAGCAATAGTAATGAGGTCTGTTAAGTAGGGAGGAGAAAGATTACGTATTGCTTTGAAGTTGTGGAGGAGGATCCTGAAGGTGGAGCTAAATTTAACTGGAAGCCAGTGGAGCTGCTGAAGAACAGGGGTGACGTGGAGGAAGGAGGGGGTTCCGGTGATAACACGGGCTGCTGAAGTCTGGACCAGTTTATGAAGGAGTTTATCGGGGAGACCAAAAAGAAGTGAGCAGCAGTAGTCAAGACGGGAAGTTAAGGCTGTGTATGAGAATGGCTGCAGCATGGAGGAGGAGGAGCGAGGACGATTTACGGATCCAAGATGGAAATAGGCTGACCGATTTATGCTATTGATGTGGGCGTGGAAAGACAGTGAACCGACAACCCAACTTCACTGAGCTATGACTGGCCCAAGCACTTAACCCCCCCCGGACAATATTGGTATCAATATATCGGATATCGGTAAAAAAGCCAATATCGAACATCCATAATTTTCCCCCATTTCCTTTGAAATTACGTAAAGTTCCACTTATAAATCAATGCTGAATGGCACCTCGTTAGTAGCAGGCATTCAGGAGCCGAGCTGGGAATAACCAGGAAGAGTCCGAGTGAATATTGGGAAATCAGCATGGGAACAATTTGCAGCGACATGGCTACTTAGTCAGAACTACCACTGCAGAAAGAGCTGGGTGGTAACACGAGTCTCTGATTTAGTCCTTGGTGAGCCCAGATGAGCACTGGCTGGCTGACTGCGTGTGTGTGAGTGTGTGTGTGTGTGTAAGTCGGGATACGATATGTTCCCAAGCACAACAAGCTCACTGGTACAGTGCCACGGTAGGAAGGTGCAGCTTACACAAGTTTAAAATTAGACTGAAAGCATTGAATAAAGGAGAAAGAGAGCTGGAGAGACATGTCAGGAAAAAAAATGAGGAAACCGAGAACCGATACGGGGAGGAAAAAACAAGAGATTATAGCAGGATGTCCCCATTCATCCCTTTGTAATCCAACTATCATCCCTTCCTCCTGTGTTCTGCCCTATTTGTTCTAACGTCTAAAATCAAACAATTCCTCGCTGTAAGATCGGACGCGTGGAATCAAACTAATCTTTGTTGGACAGCAATTCAAGCAAAGGAATGATGGAAAATAATCTGTGATGTCAGGAGGAAGGATGGCAGAGAAAGTTGCAATAGCGTGTGCTCAGGTGGTACACCTGTGGACAGCTGACACAATCAAAACCAGCTTCATCCACAGCAAAGATGGAGACGAGCCTCTAAAAGCTGAGTCCCGTCAGCGTGGGAAACATGACGCTTCACCTCTAACCACGTCTCTGTCAGCCAAGGCACGTCAGCAGGGTGCAGGAAACTCCATGCACACGTGTGTGTTTTTTATGAAGCTAACAAGGCATGGTTTATTAACTTGATTGTGCAAAAAATACTTCCAATAAGATTCCCACCAATTAAAAAAATGCAAATCAAGCAGGACTGATCGCTGAAAAGGTAACAGCGTGCTTGTTTGAGCAGCTGGACACCAGAATCTCCACATTTACTGAACATTGTAACAAAAGATAAGTGTGTGTGTGTGTGTGTGTGTGTGTGTGTGTGTGTGTGTGTGTGTGTGTGTGTGTGTGTGTGTGTGTGTGTGTGTGTACAGGGTATCTGCAGGTTTAAGGGAGCCAAATTTAAGACTTTTTAAGACCTTTTCTAAGGCCACTTTGACCAAATTTAAGCTGTTTAAGCAAGGCAGCAGTAGCTCAACAGGTTGAGTGGGTTATCCAGTAATCGGAAGGTTGCAGGTTCGATCCCGGCTCCGGACAGAGAATTCTGCTGTTGTGTCCTTGGACAAGACACTTAACCCACCTTGCTTGCTGGTGGTGGTCGGAGGGACCGGTGGCGTCTCTGTCAGTGCGCCCCAGGGCAGCTGTGGCTACATCGTAGCTCATCACCATCAGTGTGTGAATGCGTGTGTGTGAATGGATGAATGATGCACTGTAGTGTAAAGCGCTCTGGAGTCCTTA